AGCCAGAATAGGCCAAATCAGATCTATGCCTCTGACTGCCCCAAATTCCTAGCTGTAAAGCCAAATCAGATTCATCTGAACTGACTCAATGAAAATCTGAAATGATCTTATCAAATGATCTTAGAAAGAGCTTAGAAAGAGCTTAGAAAGATCTTAGAAAGATCTTAGGAAGTAATAAATCTTTTATTAAAACCTCAAGACTTGAATGAATTTCTATCTCAAAATTTCAGGCTCTTCAAACAACTTAATGAAGATGTTTTCAACAGACCGATCTACCAGAAGCAGATCTACATCTACGATCAACAATATTTCCATGCGGATGTAAGTTGGCCACAATTATTTGCTATTGAAAGTCTTGTCCGATAAATAAAACATTAGCTGATCAAGATTGCTTTAAATAAAAAAGATTAACTATTTCATTTAGCTCATTTGTAGGCAAATCCGAGAAAATTCTTGTTTTTCATTACAAGGACACAAGAATTGACATAGAATGAAAACGGCTTCGTGAAATGTTATGAAAATTTGTCTATTTATCTAACTTTTTATTCTTTATCTCTTGTCTTTTGACACCGAAATGGGTTTCTGTGACAAAAGGTGCTCAAACCGAAACTTTGAGTTCGTTTTTCATCGTTCTTGACTGCTCGACTTCGCACCTTTAAAAAAAATAACTGACGCAAGCTTTTGAGAATTTCTTAAAGGGCAATTTGTAAATAAATAATAGGACTTTCTGAGAAAACAAACCAGAGATCGATTGGTACATTATTCATTTTAAAAAGTAACGTTTAAAAAAGCGGACAAGACTTTCCGGTCAACTAGGCTGTCCAAAAAGTCTTTTTTTTGAGTCTTTTCGTTCATAATTGTAAGTTTTAACTGTTTTTTCTAGTTTAACCTGTCTCTAACGATAAATGGTTCCGGTGTCAACAATAGCGGCAACTCCGGCTCCGTACTGAAAAAAAGTAGATAACTTGAGAAGAAAACCTATCTAAAACCTATCTAGCTAACTAAAAGATATTATAGTAATAATTAATATTAGATAAGCTATGAGAAAATAACTTACCGAGGCTCCCTTGATGGTGAGCTTGTCCAGCTTGATGCGCCAATAGTCGTCAGCGATCAATGGAGCCCAAGCAATTTGGCCCTAAATTTGGTCAAATGGTCTTGATTATGAATTTCTTAAAGGGCAATTTGTAAATAAATAATAGGACTTTCTGATAAAACAAACCAGAGATCGATTGGTACATTATTCATTTTAAAAAGTAACGTTTAAAAAAAGCGGACAAGACTTTCCGGCTAACCTGATATTTGGCTGTCCAAAAAGTCTTTTCGTTCCTTTTTATACTTTCGTTTAAAACCAAGAAATGCACCAATTGAACTACGGTTTCTTTCATTAGAAAGGCCAATTATTTTTGTGCAAAATAACATTAAAACGGGTTTAAAATATCTTATGTCTGGATTTTTTTGGGAGTGTGAAGTCGGGTAGTTAAAAATGCGGCTCGATAATGCAGTTTAGAAGATTTAGCTAAAAAACCTATCTTGATGTCACTAGATAAAAGATAAAGCATAAAAAGTTTAGTATATCGTCAAATTTTCAGAGAAATTGATTCAGCCAATTTCTTCGTAGAGGTTTTCATAGATTTTTACGAAAAAACACGTTTTCACTCTCGAATTTTGGTTGAAAGTGAACAAAAATTGACTTAAAAAGATGGGAAATTAAATAATAAACACTTTTTATTTATTAAGCAAATCATAAATTAATTGATGAAATTGTTATTTTTCAAAAGGAAGTACAAAAAGGAAGGAAAAGACTTTCGCCTAAGCCTAATATCTTTAGCAATTACTAATAAGTTCAGACTAATAACTGTTCAAAGCTTTAAGAATAAAGTTTTCAAGTTTAAACAGCCAAATATTCGAGTTACAACAAGATTTAGACCTGCATCCAAGAGCCTGGTATGTCTGGTTTCCGCAAAGCTGCCGTAATGGATTGGTTGAACACCGTTTACAATACAACGATCTTTCAACAAGCTTATCGATATTTGTTGAAGAAAGGTATTTGGACTTGAAAAATGATAATGCAAAGTTTTAGGAAAATGTACTGATCAAAATGATTTGCAAACGAAGCTCTTCATGCTCTGGTTCGGCACATATAATCGATGCACATCGAATAAGTCGATTCTAGGGTCTTCAGGTAGGAACAGTTTATTTTGCTATACTGATAATCAGCTGAATGTGAGTTTAAAGCAAACATTCTTCAATCCTTTTGTAATCATAGTTTTGCAATCCATTATCCAATTCTTTTGTAATTATAGTTTGTCTAAACCTCTAGGACAGGCTAATCTTGATCGAGAGAGGAATGGTTAGAGATTCTCAAATGAATATATCTATTCTCAACTTCTTTATTAGTAAATCTTGCAACAGGAGCTAATATACTAATGCTAATTTGAAGAAATAACGGAAAAGTACCGATCACAATTCAAAACTTGATTGAAGAAAGATCTCTTCCGTTACAACAGAACAATATAAGGAATTGCTTTTGAAAAGATTAGTTGAATTGATTCATATTCTATCATTAGATCACTAGCTCAACAGTTTATTTGAGAATCGATGAATCAAGGTATCTCAGATAAACAGAAAACAAGAATTCCGATGTTTCCGAAAACAAATTGTCTAAACCTGACCAAGACCAAGTTATTTCTTCAAATTAGCATTGGTATATCAGCTCCTGTTACAAGATTTACTAATAAAGAAGCTGAGAATAGATATACTCCTTTGAGAATCTCTAACCATTCCTCTCTTATTCAGGATTAGCCTGTCCTAGAGGTTTAGACAAACTATAATTGCAGGTCAATGCCCTCAAAACCATAACTCCTAGCTGGAAAAATGGTTTAATGATTAAAATATCTTGGAAATTTAGTTTAAATCTTGTATCGTGCATCCTGGATTTCTATCTAGACTTTATCAAGCTTTTAAAGTGGATAAAGTCTTCAACAACAATTTCCAGGTTGGGAACATGTGTTCTGCGGTGAATGGAAAGAGAACACAGTTGATGGACATCACAGGTACCCCAAAATTCTCTGCTAATTATCAAATATTTCAGTTGGGTCAACTACTATCGTCAAGAGAAAGCCGGACAAATTAATTATTATGGATATTACAGCTATGAAAAGGTGAGTAATGGTTTTGAAGCTAAACAATTGAGACTTCAGCAATTGACTGGAACTTTCCAATATCAATGGAGCAAAGCATTCAAGAAAACTGGTGGATTTTTGATTGGAACTAGTCCAGGTGAGGAATTCAAACTCAAACTATTATCAAAGTCTTTTCTCAAAAGATTTCTGAGCTCTGACAAGGGAAAGGATTTCGAGCTTCTTATAAGGCATTCGACAACTATTTCGGTGGTCTAGTGGATAGTCTTCTAGACTACCGAATCTATCAACCTTTTACTCCAAGTTCGAGTCCCACTCTCACTTTTTTTTAAAAAAACTATTTCTCACGTATTTGCAATGAATAAACGATGAATAAACAATTGCAATGAGGCTTTCCTTTCCCTTGTAAGTAGAATCAATCGTTGGTTATGTGAATCGAATTCAGCTTTCGACTTCTCCCTTCTCAGCATCTGTGTCCTCACCCATCCCAACTCGGCCAATTGCAAGTTCACTTTGGATGGTTGGATCTTGCTAATAGCTTTTAAATCGATATTTTTACTTGATAAAACACTAGCTTTAAAATCCAATTACTTTCAGGATTCCATCTCGGCGTTACCTCGTACACGGAAGCTTGTGACGCGGGCACATGTATCTCCACCGCATATCCAACTGATTGAATTCCTTGACTCATTGTACATAATATGTATGAATTATTGTTTTAATAAAAGTTTGTAGAGTAGTTGCAGATTAATTATGAAATAAAACGGATAGATCATCAAAATAAAGCTACAGGGCACAGTTTGGATATAAAACGTCATCAAAATTATATGCAAATTGTCTCAGAGCCTCGAATTATGCTAATTTTTTAAGAAACTCCGGAAAATTTAGTTTTGCACCACAATTTTCATAATCATTTAGTTAAACAGATCCCTCTAAATTCAAAATCGGGAAATTCCAGCCTGAACCTAATTCCACCTTCGTTTTCTTGGCCAATTCTTGGCCGATTGCTTTGAAATTTTTTTCTAAAGATAGAAATCGTCATTTTCAGCTTGTAGGCAAAATTTCAGATGTTTTGTTTATTCTTTGAGTTCAAGAATAGAAACCTATAGCTTCTGGCGCTTATTTTTGGCGTAGATCATTGCTGCGGTGCGATCATTCATTGCTGCGATCATTCATTGCTGCGATCATTCATTGCTGCGATCATTCATTGCTGCGATCATTCATTGCTGCGATCATTCATTGCTGCGATCATTCATTGCTGCGATCATTCATTGCTGCGAGAAAAGTAGGAATTGAGAAGCAAACGAAGAAGAATTAAGAAGCAAAAGATGCTAGAAAGGAAATGTTTCCATTTTTAAGCACAAAGTACTTGCAGTCAAGTAGAGTCAATTTTAAGCATTCTTTGTGCAGAAGAATAGAAACACACAACTTTTGATTAGCTGAACCTACTTACCGGCCGTTTGTTTTGAAGTAAAAATGTATCATATCTTTGCTTTAAAGTAAAAATGTTTTAAATCTGTGAATTCTTGCAAAAATAAGCTTTCCTTTTTTCGTTTTCTTCACCGATTCTTGGCCGATGACTCTGAAATTTTGTTTACAGATAGAAATCGACATTTTCAGCTTGTAGGCAAAATTTCAGAGCAATCAAACAAGAAACTCTCGAGAAAACGAAGGTGGAATTATTGGGTTTGGAAATTCGAGAAAACGAAGGTCGAATTTTCTAATGTCTATTGTTCAATTGTTTATTGTTCCCCATTGTTCTCAAAATTTCAGAATTAATCCATTGTAATATGATTGAAATAAGTTGATATTATAAGTTTATTGTAAGTAAAATGAAAATAAATGTTAAGAAAGTTATTTGGACATGGCGAATCCGACACGATCATTTCCACGGTCGAAGACCGAGTAGAAGCGACCGATGAAGACATCACCGAGAATCCAAAGAGGTCCGTTTGGAGCTGGGATATCGAGCCCCATAAAGCCGGAGAGGCAGATTGTCGTTCCCTGAATAGTTAACGATTCATTATTCATTTTTATCCAGATCTATCAGAGGTTACGGTCAATTATGAAACTAATTCGTTCTTTTGAGAAGACTTATGCTTCATGAGGATCAACTCAGACGTTGAAGTCAGCTATTAGCATCTTTTTCAAATCCAATCTCTACCTGGCTGGTGACTTGAAGAATGTAATCCTTTCCAGCCAATTTGAAGTCCTTTCCAGCGATAGTGAAGGTGATTTCGGGAAGAGCGGGGACCAACTTGCAGGGAACGGTGTACTCTCCATTTCCGAGTGGGATCGCTCCAATAGCTTTTTGAATCTAAAATTTAATAATATTAAGGTAATTGAGTGGAAAACAAGGTTATAATTGTCCTATAATTCGTTTTCTAAAGTTCTATTTCATTTTAATTGCTTACCTTAGTGATATCATCTGTGGGTCCAGTGAGAAGCGAGGTTCCGGTGTCAACAATAGCGGCAACTCCGGCTCCGTACTGAAAAAAGGTAGATAACTTGAGAAGAAAACCTATCTATAAGCTAACTAAAAGATATTAGATATTAGATAAGCTATGAGAAAATAACTTACCGAGGCTCCCTTGATGGTGAGCTTGTCCAGCTTGATGCGCCAATAGTCGTCAGCGATCAATGGAGCCCAAGCAATTTGGCCCTAAATTTGGTCAAATGATCTTGATTATGAATTTCTTAAAGGGCAATTTCTAAATAAATAATCGACTTTCTGATAAAACAAACCAGAGATCGATTGGTACATTATTGATCTTAAAAAGTAACGTTTAAAAAAAGCGGACAAGACTTTCCGGTCAACTAGGCTGTCCAAAAAGTCTTTTTTGAGTCTTTTCGTTCATAATTGTAAGTTTTAACTGTTTTTTCGAGTTTAACCTGTCTCTAACGATAAATGCTCATCTTTTTAACTTACAGTGTAATGGTTTGAGTCCATTCCGCAAAGAGTCATCTCTCCTCCATTAGCAACATCATTAGCATCACGGCTCAACCAGAAAGCGAACAATTGCTGATCGCAGATAGCCTAGAAGTTAATATTAATGCACTTTTTTAAAATATTATCTCTAAAAGATACAGGCAATAGATTTAGAAACCCATTTTCCGAATTCTTTTTGCCTACCGGTTATGGATTTATGGATTTTTCGATTTATGGATTACTGTACCCTTTTTGAATTTCATTTTTATCAATCTTGGCCCAGATTTAAGCTCATTTCAACGTTATTATATTCATATTTCTATTCATAAACATATTTTTCAAGTAACTAACAGTGTTGGCAAAGATCTGGTCCATTGGTTGAGGAATCTTGTTAACGGAGATCGAGTCGAAGCCCATTCCGAGAATTCCGTCGAACTTGGCGGCCTTAAAATGGTGAATAGGTAAAATTAAAATGTAAACTTGTATTCGATTTAAAATTAAAATCTATAATCTTTCGAATTTTAGCTATTTACCAACCACAAATGAGACTCCGGGCTCTTGCTCGGCGCAGGCGAATCCTTGAGTCTTGTCGGTACAGAAGCCGCTCTTTGAGTCCCCGAACTAAAGTAAAAGATATGTCTATTGTATTGTAAATCTATTGTAATTGTAAATGTCAAGCAAGTCTTTCAAAATCATTTTAAAACTCACGCAAACAATGTCGTTGTCAACAACTCCAGTCATTGATCCAGATCCATATTGGATGGCAAATTGAGCTCCGGTAGCTCTGCAAGTGGTCGATTTCTTGCAGTTGAACTGAAAATGAAAACTGTACATTCATTTTGAGGCGTGACAAACCTTGGCATGGAATTGGCAAGCCAAGTTATTTGATGGGCAATCACTGCATGGCACCCACAAGTTCGAGGATCCGGTGTCGAAGAGGATCTAAAGATTTTAAGCTAGAAAAATGTAAAAACTGTGTAATATTGATCAATAAAAGGGTTGGACTAGATTCATTTTATAGATTTTTTTAGTTTAGAGTTCTAAAGATTGATAAAAAGTCTTTATTGTTGTAGTTGAACTTGAAAATTTGCTTAGTGTTGGACCTAGCCAATCCCAAAACTTCTAAAGAATCTTTATAATGTCTTCTTTAAAGTAAAGCTATATAGCTCCAAATAAAGTTAAAAATATTGCTATTTACTTAAATATCTGGTTGACAACTGCATCATTGACACTCTTCTTTGCCAAAACTCACCTTGAAGTTCTGTGGTGGGGTTCCGATGCTGAGTGTTCCGTAGTATTGAGCCTAAAATTTCTTCTATTAGTTTTTTTCCATTGTTTACCCCTTTTCATTCATTTGATTTTCGTCCTAGAAAGCGATTAATTTGTAGACATTAAAAATTTTTCGAGATAAGGAATCAGAAAGATCCGGGAGCTGGCCATAAAATAAGAGGAACCGAATTTTCCCGGGAAAAGAATTTAGGAAAGGAAAATATTTCAGAAAACCGAACAAGAACAAAATTGTGATTGTTTTTGTCTCTGTTTTTAAACTCCAACTCACATTTTGGTAATCGGAAAGACCCTCATTGTAGGCGTCGTTGTTGAATTTGTAGTTCTTGATGTACTTTTGCTTCAAGTACTCACCGATCAGCTTTGTGTTGTATTGCTCACGCTCGTGAACGACTTTTGTCATTGGGACTCTGGAATTGTTGAGTTTCAAACTATGGAAAGGGAAGGGAAGGAAAGGAAAGAGTTTTAGAGGTTTAAACTGTGTGACGACGTTATTACGCTTTAAGATTCAAGGGTCAGATTCTTGGAGCGACTAGAATCTCATACAAACTCCTACACTTTGCAATGAAGTTCTAAAAGTTTTATTTTGTCACAAGATTTCGGTTCCCCCTCGTGACAGACACGTGACAGAATTGACAGACGTACCGCTCAAAATTATATGACCTTCAAAAGAGTGTCCTTTCCTCTGATTCAAGCCATTAAAAATCGTCTGAATTTTTGTCTCCTTAAAAGTCTTAAAGTGAATCTTGTAGAGCTAAAAAAGAGCTTTCAGAATCTTTATGGCATATGCTTTTACAATGACTAGACAAAACGTTACAAGCCTCCGAAGAAGGGACGCTTTTTTGGAGGTGATTTAATTTGGACCGGTACTGTACTTGGTGACAAATTTACCCTGTTTAAAGGAAATTTTTATGTTCTGTTTCAAAAATTATCCTTAAGATTAAAAAGTTTAGCAAATACCGATAGATTTAGCACTCTTAAAGTGTTGTGAACTGTTTTAAGTTCAGGAATTTATGTAAAATTGTTATCTACAGCATATAACATGAAACGCTATTTGTCCAAAATGGGACTCTGGAATTGTTGAGTTTCAAACTATGGAAAGAAAAGGGTTTTAGAGGTTTAAACTGTGTGGCGACGTTATGACGATTCAAGATTCAAGGGTCAGACTCTTGGAGCCACTAGAATCTCATACAAACTACTAATCATTCTATGATTTGGTAAATAAACTACAAGAATTGTTTAAATTTAAACAGTTTAACATAAAGTCACTTGTTTACATGTTTCATTTGTAGTTCATACATTACAATCAAGTTCTTAATTACAACTTTTCAATCATTTACCTCATCATTGAGAGCGCGACGGCGCAAACGGCCGCTAAGAAGAGAAGGGTTCTCATCTCGGTTTGGAGAAGAAGAAATATGGCCAGAGCAAATCAGAATACACTCTCGAGCCTCTTTTATGCCTTGTTTCTTATCTTTTCTCTTTTTTATGGTTCAAAGAGCCCTCGATGGACTCAACGGTCTGCTTTTAAGTGATTACCTCACCTACCGGATTTTTCGATACGGAATCTGTTCTTCATGAATGTAAAAAAGCGTGACATGACGAAAGATGGGATAAAGTACAAAGAGTTCTTGCAGAATGTAGCAAATACAATCAAAACTCTGTTTTTTTCCTATTCTAGATTGAATACCATAATCCAGAGAGTCTAGACTGAATATTCTAATCTAGACTGAATACTCTAGATCGACTGAACACCCTAATCTAGACTAAATTCCGTAATCAAGCTATTCTAGACCGAATATCCTATTCTAGATTGAATCCCGTAATCCAGAGAGTCTAGACTGAATACTCTATTCTAGATAGATTCTAGATAATACTCAAAGCTAGACTGAATACCCTAATCTAAGAATACCCTAAACCTAATCTGAATACCCTAATTCCTTTCATAGTCAACTATGAAAGCAATCCTAAAAAGCCTTCACTATCGAATTTAGTTCACTATCGAGGTGTTCAATATCGAGGTGAACCAGGTTCGACTATAATTAATTTCTGTTTCTTGTTGGTTTCGCTAGTAAATCTAAAATTAAGTTTTACACTAAAGTACTGAAGTAAATTTAGTTTTGCATTGTGTTTCTATACATCAATTTTATCCTCATCGTTAATCAAAAGCACAGGCACAGAGTTATGTCGTTGATTGTACGATTCGCATTCACTTTGACGTCGACTCGAGCAATCTTTCATATCTTTTCCCTCGTACAGGAGAGCGTCGACCATGATGAATAACCTAAAATCGAGTTTTATAAAATGCACAGTCACTAGTATGGAAATGAATTAGCTCTCAGGGTTCTTCCAATTCCAATTTTCAGGCCCACTCTAAGGCCAACCAGAATAAAACTTCAAAATTATTTGCTTATCTGGCCTGTGGCATCTTCTGGCCTGTCTTAGCCTACTTCTGGCTTTTTTTGCTTTATTGAAACTATTGGGTTGTCCAGTTATGAATGCGCGTTTTTTACTATTTTGTAAATTTCTCAAGATACCGAAATCAAGAAAAAGATATATATGAGTATTATTCGAAAGCTGAAGATCTCCTCTACATTTTGATATAAAAAGTTTTTGAATTTGTTCAGCTTTTGGGCAAATCGACTGCACAGAAGAAGAGGTGACCGAAAAATGGAAGGATGCCTTTGGATCAAGTTTTGGCTCCGCTCAAATTGAGTTAACCGTTTGATGTTTGGCCAATAGATATATCAATACAACTTTTTAAAAAAATATAACAATTTCAGAGCATCTTTACTTTTCTTTTCTAAGCGGTTATTTTACACCATAAAACTTGAGGAATAGCTAAGCTGAAAAGGGTTTTTTTTTTCGAAAACGACCTCTCCCTTTGTGCAGTCAATTTCCCAAAAAGTTGAATGATTTCAAAAAGTTTTTTATTCCAAAATGTAGAGGAGATCTTCAGCTTTCGAATGATATATAACACACATATACATCTGTTCGATATCTTGAGAAATTTACAAAATAGTAAAAACGCGCATTCATAACTGAACAACCCAATAGAAGTATAAAGCTTTCAGAGCCTTGGCCTAATAGTAAGACAATAAATTAGATTTTCCTGTTCTCTGAAACTGTAGAAATGAAAAACTACTCACCACCACATCTCACAAATTCCCACAAATGCACAAAATGAAGCAATCGTTATCGCAGATGGGATCATCATTTTTCTGAATCAATTCTAGAGACTTTTTTCTCTCCTAACCCACCTAATTAAATCATTTCTATATACAAATATCCTCATCAGTAAAATGTAGACCACAAAGAAAATATAGGAGACGAAAATGAGCTGAAAATTTTTTTGAGATTTCAGGGTTGATTTGAAAATTTACCTGCCAAAGTACATGCAATATGTAGTACTTTTTTCGACGATAATGCCAAGCTAATAGAGTGATAATGATAATGATTAAAGAAATGACAATGAAGATGGCAAGACCTAGAATTGAATTGATTTTTTGGACGTCTTATGATCGAACCTAGGTTTTGATTTAGCTCGAAACCCGGATATTGATCTAACCTTGCTTTACTTGCTTACCCTAGGAATTGGTATTCAATTAGAATCTTTGTCAGAACAAATGTGCCAGATAATGAACGTTTACGTCTTTGCTTTACTTAGTGTTCATGCGTACAAAGTAGACTTGTAACGAAAAAATCTGTCGCTTCTTTTTGCCGTTTGCAATTTAAGGTTTTTCTTAGCACAAACCCTTCGATTTTGCCTATTTTGATTATCATTCGATGCAGAATAAAATTGCGCATCGAATGATACCAAAATTAACTCAAAATATAATATCCACGCAAAGTTGTTGGCTACAAACCTAAACCCGCTCATTATGGGCGGGACTTAACGTTTTGCCGTTGCCAATTTAAGGTTTTCGTGTTTTTCTCAGCACCAACTCTTCGATTTTGATTATCAATCGATGCAGAATTAAATTGCGCATCGAATGATATCAAAACCAACTCAAAATATAATATCCACGCAAAGTTATAAGACAAAAGGCTAAGTATAACGAGTGGGGTTTAGGTTTTTAAGCCAACAACTCTGCGTGGATATTACATTTTGAGCTAATTTTAGTATCATTCGATGCGCAATTTTATTCTGCATCAAATGATAATCAAAATCGCAAGATTTGTGCTGAGAAAAACACGAAAAACCTTAAATTGCCAACGATAAAAAGGACCGACAAATGTTTTTGTCAAAAGTCTAGTACAAAACAGGTCAATACTTGACAGTTTCCAGGCTCTAGGCTTGACTTGTAAGCCTTGACTTGACCAGGAAACTATTTTATGTTTTACAACTCCTTTTATATGTTCTCCAACATTTCTTTTCTCACCTGCTGAAATCTTTTTCCCTCTTCCTTCAAGTTCTTTTGTGAAGAAGAGCACTCCATCGTTTATTGCAAAATCAATAGCAAACATTGAGCACCAAGCTAAATATAGATTGCTTTTATTTGTCAAGATGTTAATCATTAAGAATAAGAATCAAAGAAAACATCGAAACTGACCCATTAGGATAATTTCTATGACACAAATGAGCGGGACGGCATCTCGGAGGCTTACACAACCGAGACAACATTTATGACGGGAAAGCGGTGCTGAAAACAGTTGCTTTGTTTTTGCTTATGACTAATTTTACCTAGTTCTTATTATTTGGAAAACAAAGTTTTCTCAAACATAGCTTGAAATATATAATATAAATAATGAAATCTATTATTTTGTCTAGATCTTCTTACTTTTTGATAAGATCTTTAACAAACCTTGGTTTTATTGATCTAGTCTAATTTAATGTTTAGTGTTTTTCCTTAGGGTTTTCCTTAGGTTTTCCTTAGCTTTATTGACTCACATAAACTCCAGCTCAATTTACTTGACGCTCTCGAGATTTGAGATAGATTTTTCTGTGGCCCGAGTCCGATATAGTACTGACAACTGGACTCGGAATTAGTCGCCTGATCCAATGACGACGGTAATTTGATCATAAGAGCATTTGATTGAAAGATTACTGGAAGAATCAGATAAATTAATTGTAACTGAGTAAAGAATAGAACAAGGAAATGAATTCAGAGAAAAATTGGAAGCTATTAAGATTATTAAGGTTCAGAAAAGCTAAAGATTTTAACTCTAGTATTGTCAAATTTGTCAAATCCTGTATCATTTCCGTGAATCAAAATAAAGCTAATTAACTGAATACTCTTTAATTCTTCAATTGAAATAAACTGGTCTACCCAAGAATATCGTAGAAGAGCCTGGCCTGATAGTATTAGGCTGTTCAGAAATTCTTTTCGTTCCTTTACGTACTTTCGTTTAAAACAAACAAATACACCAATTAAACTACGGTTTGTTCATCAGGAATCGTTTTTCTAGTGCAAAAAGTGAGCTGAATTTAGGCTAGAAAATTTGGAGAAAATTTTAGCGCTTTTACGACAAACTGTAGTATTTTTTGCTAAAATTGCCTGCACCTAGTCACAACTTTAAAGCAAAGAATAATCTTTTACAAAAATGCGGAGGTTTCAGTGAATTTTTGAAAATAATGAGTATAATTGATGAAGCTGTGAGAATTTTAAGGTCGAAAGCAAAAAAAATGGGCACTGATTGATGTCTAAAAACAGTTGGAGTGCCAGATGAAAGAAAGGAAAAGAAAAGAGACCACTTGAAGAAATGAAAGCGAGTAAAAGAGGGGTGATGTTCGTTGAGATTTCAAAAATGGGCAGCTTTTTGAAGTTTTTGAGGAAGTTTAGACTATTTTCGGGGTTCATAGGGAATTCCGGTTCATAGGGAGTTCCGGAAATTCGGAAGTTTATTTCTCGTAAAGATCTTTAATCAATGTGATAGGTATCACTCTATCATTCAATGCTTTACGGAAAGGAAAAGGCTATACTTTTCTTCATTTATAGTGAAGTTTTGTAGACAAATTATTATTAAAATAAGTCTGAAGAACTTATTTTAATAATAATTTGAAAATCGAATACTTTTTTCATGAAATCTTTCAGAAGTTGTATAGGTTATAATTATCTGAAATTGCACAGTGACCATTAGAGTTCTTTCTTCTTAATTCAAAGGTGCCAAACTTGCAAAGCTATTGTAATCTTGTTTTTAAGTTGGATTTAATCTATCAACTGTGAGGATTCAAGAAAGATAGTAATAGGCATTAAGGGATAAAAGTTGAATAAAAGTTATGAGCAAGATAACGAAAGGTACGCTTTTTAGAAACGCATCACTAGAGCATGCATATTAAAGGGTGACCGCGAATTATAGCGACTCACTTCTGAGGGTCTAGCTTAGCGAGTACTCAATGAATCTGTATGAGATTTTTGGAGGTGATTTTTGAGTATGTCTCCTGTAAAAAAGCCG